TGGTCCTGCAAGATACTTACCACATGAGGCGGCACGCAGGGAAAACCGAATCAAGGTCAGTTCCAGGAACAAGAATATTGGCAACAGCCCACATGTTTCTCGTTGTGTGGCTGCAAATCACTCTTTGTCCTGGACGATCCGCTCATTTGAAAAATAACTGACACTGACACTTCAAAACCGGCTTCCGAGCTGTACAAGCAGGTAGGTGATCCCTCACACTGAACAGACGGGTGTCCTCGTTGGCCTGAGTCCTGTATGTGAGTCTCAGGCCCCCTGCTTCTGAAAATCAAAGATGATGCTTGCATCTGACCTACCTGAAAAAGCCAACATGCAATCACAATCAAGTTCCAACAACCGTTAGCCTAGAATTAGGGTGTACGCACACACACACACACACACACCCCCTGTCTCTCTTTCTCTCTTTCTCTCTCTCTCTCTCTCTCTCTCTCGTCTTCAAGTTGCCTGGCTGCTAAGTGCGTCCTATTCAAAAGTCTCGCGCTACTTGGCGGCCACCGGCATGATTGTACCCAACTTAGCAATATCACTGAGGAACACTGCACACATGAGTTGATAAGGAAGCTGCAGTAAAATTGTCTTGTAGCTACGTATTGCCAGAAGCATGCAGAATAAAGACACCGCCCAACATTGGGTCCTTGTATTATACGAAGCTTGAGTGTTTGCCCCCTAAATACTCCAGACGCCGATATTAAAAGAGCCTCCCCAGAAAGACCCATTTTGAAAAACCTCCATATAGTTTCGCCCAAACATGATCAATCCTCATGCTTTTCACGGCGGCGAGACGCTCGTATACCTTTGTCTTGTTCTTGCTCTTGTCGCGGATGTCGTTACCACTTTGATGGTTGTAACAACAAGGTTGTGGTGGTTGTTGTTGCTGCTGCACTTCCGAGCATCCAGTTTTTTCCGTTGGTCGTGTTTGCAGGATTTTACAGGCTTCAACTGGCGTAAAGGACAGGTTTCGGCCAAGAGCTCCGAAAATGTCAGGGTTCAAGCAGCCATAGCAGCCCCAAAAGCTAAGAGGTGTAATTTGCCCTGTTTTGACGCTGCATTTTGCGTCGGGTGGAGACTCAGAGTAGTCCTTTCAAGCACAAGTTAGAATTTGGAAGCCCGCTCCGCCCTGAGTTGAACAGCGCCTTACACGAAGAACATGCTACGAACCGCTCAACTGACCCAGCTTGTGACTGCCAGGCTGCGTGCTGAGATGGAGCACTTCCACTTGCAGCTGTCGCGGAGGACTCTGAGAATCAGATCTTGTGCATTCCGTTGCCGTTTTTGTCCAACCGTATGTTTTGATGACTATCCGATCCGATCCTTCCGGCGCAAACTCTAAAGCTTTCAAAATGCGTCATTGACTGCGGTATTTACATGCCAAAGACCGTTCACAGCACGCTCTGCAACTCCCAACACAATTCATGTTGTGTTGGGCTCTACCATTATTGACTTTCGACTTGGCATAAGTCGATGATGGCCGCGATGATACCCGACAACAAAGCCTCCACTGTGTACCATGTGTTTCACATGATCGCCGTGGATAGCAACAAAACGCTTCTCCAACACTACTTATCTTATACAGTTGCCTAGAACCGCTCGGGCATCTCAAGCAGTTAGGAAGAGATGCTCAGGCGTTCGTTTGTTACAGTACGTGCACTACGCTCAGGTAGTTACGCCTGTCTGCAGGACTCTGCTGTACTTCTGGAGCCTTCTAGCGGCCAAGTTGCCTGAGCTACTTCTGGAACCGCAGGACTAGCATACGCATTCTCTTGGCAGGTTTTGCAAACTGTTCGCTTGCCCGGTGGTCCAGTTTTATTAGGCGGAGCATGCCTCACATTAGCAGCAGTGGATTGGAGAGCACGGCACATGTTAAGAACCTCAAAGTCTTGTTGGGTCGGCTTGCGCGTGCATAGTTCCACCTTGTCAAGCCTTCAGCGCTACTGCGCGCCACTAGTGGACCCTTCAAAGAGTGAAAGCTGCAGCCCTCACTCCGGGCAAGGCAGCTTGCGAGGATCTCTGCACAAAACCAATCGATGCAATGGTGTACTATGCATGCATGAAGGAAACAGATGGTAACATGACAATGTGAATATGGCTCCCACAACAAAGCTTCAGGGCATGCGGGGGCCATGCGATAAAACATGTGTCGTTATTTGGCTGGTGTTGCTAGACTACTACTGTAATGTCGTTTCATCATTGATGAATGAGCAGCGGAAGGCCTCATGTGGAAGCTTAATTCAGAGAATGTCATAAGACACAGCAAGAACAATCACTGTTTCGTGTATAGGTTGCAGTGACAGGTCAAGGTAGTGGGTGTAGGGGTGACTTGTAGCAAGTATTAGGACCCATGCGTGGGTCGACAAAGTGCTGGCATTCGTGCAGAGCTGCATTTAGGTTGCCGCAGCGGCCAAACGTGAAGGCGGAAACAAAACCTGTACCAAAGTCGGACCCCGTTGCAGTCTCATCATTTGTCGCTCGAGCTTCCGCCACCAAAACAGAACATAGAAGAGGCGCGTTGCAGAAAGAAAGTGGTCATTGCCTTAATGACTTGCACAGCTTAAGCTCCTTACAGGGCCATGACAATTTAGCGTGGTACGAGCGAAGCATGCGCACTTTTGTGTAGATTGGTCGGGTTCTGGTTCATCTAGTTGGGTTCCGGAAGATCTAGTTGACAGTGACCAACGCATGAGCCCAAGCTCCGCATCGCCGAGCAGATTTGACAACGCAGGCCTCATGAAGTCCACTCTTGCGCGTGGGATGCGTAGCGGCGCATCTGTGCGAAAATGCTCTCTGTCGACATGTACTGGCGCAGCTGGATTTGCCATGGCAGGATGTAGGGAAAGAATTCATCATGGAAACACCAAAGATGCAGAAGACTTGCGTTGCCTTCGCAGGAATGGAAAATTTTGAGCGTAGCTTGCAGCTGAGCACTTGAAGCAGACAGGACTCCGTGAGGTTCAGCGACCGCATCCTCGCGGCTCGCCGTGTGTCAGCTACACACACTCTGCGCAGGACAATTCGTCAGGTTGAGCAAGTGCACAGCTGCAGAATTGCACAGAGACCGACGTGGCAGTAACCTGTCGCCAGGACATTAGGCTTGAGAGCCTCCGCGAAGCGATTACCCGAAGGCGCCAGGACGCTGACGCATATGCAGCGGATACAGTCCACTGCAGAAAAGTGCCTGCGGCTTTCGAGCTTCCATGTCTTAACTTGCTTTGGAGCTTCCTTCAGGCGCGAAAGGACAGCTTAGCAGTGAAAGCATTTAATCTACGAACAACTCCATGCTCCACACAGGCACAGACATCATCGTAGGCACCAAGTCTGAGGTCAAGCTTGTTTTCAAGAGGTCGTACAATCTTATGCTACAGTGTGACACCCAAAATCTTGTCTCCCAAATCGATTGCAGTTGGTCTGCAGCCAGAGTTCGGACCCCAAGATCCCGTGTTGGCTTAGGCACGCGTTTGGCTCAAGGCTGAAACATGGCATTGAGCCCAGCGGGTGGTCCTGGGTAGTTCGCAAGCGGCACATCAAATGGGCCAGACAATCACCTAGCTTGATGCGACAAACATTTGCAATTTCCAGCAGCAAACAACATCATGCAGCCCGTCAAGTGATCGTCATGCTTGTTGTACGGCAAAAATGTAAGTTTTTGCTGCTGAACCCTCAAGGGGCTCAGGCGGTACGGTGCTCTTCATGTTTCGAACACCAGACCCTGAAGGGGTACCGGTGGCCTAATGGCGAGAATACCGTGGCTACTTGGCTGCACTAGTTCAAAATATAAGACTAGCCACCAGAAGAAGTAGCCATGACAGCGAAAACATTTGGCAGCAAAGCCCTTGCTGCAACAGCAGGCACTGCACGTGTCACCCACCTGCACTGTGCCCGTGTCCGCTCCTGCACCCGCGCTCTGCCTGCCGCCGTTGCGGTGGCGGTGCCGCCGCCGCTAGCACCATCACGAACACCAAATGATAGCACCGGCAACACCAAGGTACAGGCCAGAAGTTCGCACCCACTAAATGCCACGGTGGCGCGCTGTACTGGTTGTTTCCTGAGGTAGTGATGGTCAAGACTTCGTACCCTGTCCGGCCATAGTTGCGAAGGCACCTCTTGAATTTCGCGCTTAAACTAAGCGGGATATTGGCAGGTCCAAGTCACCCAAGAGCAAGCGTTTGCCTTGAATGAATGGTTTGGGAGGATTAGAGAACGATATGTCGCATTCTGGATTTGCCATTGAACAAGGCTCTTCTTTGGTGGCGGTTTAGGAGAAATTCCAAGACCACTTGACATACACGTTCCGAATGGCCAAAAGCCGTACTGCGGTGGTTTGGGGGAGGAGTTTGGTCTGAAGAGGGGCTCAATAGGTCTGGTCTTGAACAGCAAAAAGACGCCGACAACAGCAGCAACAACAACCACCACCGATAATCAAAAGATCAAAGTTCACAGACCAATAGCGATAATTCTGAAAGCTCCTCGTGAGAGGAAACTATGTCCGGGCCTAAATGCTCTGGCCTGCGGATTCATTGGGGGCACAGAATCTGTGAAAGCTGAAAGCGTACCGTGCAGATTTATGCAAATTGTATCCACTGCACATTGGCGATTGATCTTCCAACATGGCTGCTGCACATGCACGAGCATTTCACATGTCATGCAGGCGGCGAGACTTAAGAACTTAATCTTGAAGAAAATGTTCTAAACTAATCCGTAATCCTTGCGCGGATTGCGGATAGAAGGTTTATGGACTGCCGGGTTTACGGATTAGACGGATTGTGGATTGTGGGATCTGGTCTTTACGGCTACGATAAGTATGGATTTCAGGCCTCCATCTGGAAAATGTGTCGAAATTTGATACTTTCGCACGGGTTTACATGCAGTATGGAAAATTGTCAGGTCTGGCAAAGACCCCAACCGACCCCCCCGCGCCCCCTTCCCTCCCCGCGCGCCCAACCCCATGCCACGTGCCCTTCCCGCTCACAACCCCACCCCCAGCCCCGTCCGCAGCCCACCCCATCCCCACAACCACACACCACCCCCACACCCCACCCCCACCCCCTGAGATTGGCCCGAGCGTGAACCACCTCACTACAGTGTACAGTAGACAGGCGAACGGGCGTCTCTGTCCTTTTCCATTCTCTTCGCGCACTCGAGTATTATCTCCCTAGAACTTTGAGAGCAGCAGCAGCAACATGCAATGCAGTTGTGTTACATGAACTGTACATGGACTGATAGCAAAGCAACAGGACTGAAGTTATTTCAATCAGGCACAAATTTACTTGCATGTTACATAACTGTCCCGTTCGTCGGCTATCTAGCTCTCGGTGTGAAACAGACACATCTACTGAAAGGCTTAACCTACTGCTGGCAAGTGCAAAGCCCCTACCATCTCGCTGAAGATGCCCAGGGCACACAGAAACCTTGCTTGGAGCTAAGCAGTCCCATATCTCCTCGTTGAAAGAGTCTTCTGTTCATAGCTTGCTGGCAGGCGTACTTTCCTTTGCCTCTGACCTTTGACTTGGCCTTGCCCTGGCTCTTCGAAGTGCCTTTGGCCTTACCTTTCAGTGGATTTGCCTCTTGACGTGCCTTTCTGTTCCGTAGCCTTTCTTGCTTAACCGGGAATGGAACAAACTTTCTCCGTTCCCTCGCAGTGGTGAGATTAGGGCGGAGCGTGAAAAGCAAGGTAGTGTGGCTGTCCTTGTCTTTAGGACCCAGGAACGGTGTTTCCAATCCAGCATACATCAAGAATTCGCCAATTTTAATGATGTATTCATATTCTGCTGGAGGGTGGTCTGACCACTTGTCAAGACTCTGGCTATGCCCCCACTCAATGATGCAAGCAACCATGCAATCTCCATTAGGTGCATCAGGAGGATATTTTACCTCAATCTCATTCCAAGGATGACCAAAGTTCTCCTCATAATAACGAAGTGTTTCTGTTGTATTGCCTGAGGTGAACCTAAGCTTAGGGCTTACTGCAAGGTTGCCTCTTTGACATGACACAAAGGCATCTCTGAAGGATTTGAAGACCTCCTGGAGTAAGGATTGCTCATTAGAAGATGACTTCTGGTTGCTTCCTCCAAACGTATAAGTTGAGGCATTGCCATATCCACCTGGTAATGGAAGCAATCAGCAACCATGGAGCTGAGAAGCTCACCGCACAATGCAGGACTGTCAGTGGCTGCTTGATTGTTAAGGTGGAACGAGCAAACGCGGATGACGTGCATTCCTGACCTGATAATCTTGTCTTTGGCAGGGTTATCCTCACGAAGGAGTTCACGTTGAGCTTCCTTGTCGTGGGACAAGCCTGCTCTTTCCCAATCCTCCCTCCGAGGTTCATCGCGAAAGCAGGCCTCGAAAATGGCATACGCAAGAGGAGTTTCCTTATGTCTCCTCACGGTGCGAGCGCCGGCAATGTAACGAACGTAGGCGCCAGGCCATGGATTGGCGCGAATGCCACGCAGGAGGGTCTTATCAGGGCTGGTTGCAGTGAGCCACCCATGCTCTTCCACCACAGTACTTTGCTGATGGCGAATGGTGCTGGCCTCTTGGACTATGAGGACATGGGCACTACTATTGGAGGGAAAATGAATGAGGAGGTTCCCGCAAGTGGGATCACGCTTCTGCTCTTCTAGAGTTCCATTCCAGTCGATGAGATGATGGAGGCACTGTGGAGTGGAACGTTTTCTCGATCTCTCCCAGTTCCCTAAATTCAACACGCAAGCTGAAAGGTGCCCCTGGCTTCTATTAACAACCCTATTCTTTAAGCTGGTGCCCTGAGGTTGCTCAGGCCTCCTTGATGAGTCACCACTAGAACCAGGCACATTACTAGAGCTGGGAACATCAGCTGCGCTGCTGAACGTATATCCCTTAAGAGAACCAGCAGCTGCACACACCTCGGCAACGAGCTCTGACGTTTTGATGACCTCGAGTCGCTCCATGGCGGCCCTTCGTTTTTCAAGTGACTTCTGGATTTCACTGTCATCATAGATATCCCCGAGGTCCCCTGCTCTATATAAGACATAGTGTAAAATGCTGAGGAAGTCTAAAAGACATAGTGTAAAATGCTGAGGAGGGAACCCTACGCCAAGGCTCAAGCTCCTTCTTTATTATTTCACGGATTAGCTTTTCCTCACTGAGGTGATATTTGGCGTGAGGGTGCATGCAAGGCTGAATAGGAATACCTTTTGGATGGTCAATGTTAGCGCAGTTGCGATTGCAACAACGCCTGCAGGCCAGCGAATGGGAAATGCGGAAGTAGTGACCCCAAATTCTAGGGCCCTTATGACCACCACCATAGTGCTCATCTATCACCTTGAACGGAGTCCTATTTAGCTCTTCCTCATAATCTTCTATTGAGACTACGTCGCCAGAGTAGTGGGGCGCTTGTTCCCTGTGCTCAGACACACTGGCAAGGAAATCTTCAATACCAGCTTCGTTAGTCTGATTATCTTCCATTGTAGGTGCATCATTTACATGTACAGTGCAGACTTCAGGCTTGAACAGACCAGTCTCAACCATGTCTTCATCTTCCTCACCAGTGGTCTTTGGAAGCTGAAAAGTCTCTGCAAAGTCTCCGGCTTCCTCATCGTGGAATGAGCCTGCCGACGTGTCCACATCTGGGGCTGTCTCAGAGTGGTCACTTGGGACCTCACCTCAATCTCAGGCTCAGTGTAGCGTTCCTCGATGGAGTCATCTTGCTCAGGGTCTGGTTCATCAATATCTGCCTCTTTGACGAGAACAGACCTGTCCTCGTCACCGTGGAAGACAGTCCTCGCCTACCCTTGATGTTGGAGGTGCGCGGTACACCCTGGCTGTGTTCCTCCTTGGAACATCCTCAAGGACAGTGCCTAATACCTCAAACATCACAGGGGATATAGATTGATTGACCGCAACAGATCATCATACGACTCAAAATCAACAGGTGCGTGTTGACGGGAGATTTCCGTTTCCACAAAAGTGCAATACCCCGTGAGCTCCTTGTAAGCTCGCGACACAAACTTACTCTTTGGGGAAAACTCTGCTCTTTTGAGTTTTCGATAGATGAGCCGTGGGTCAAACTTCATTGCGCGAGGCGAGTCATAATAGGTGTGCCCAGACGCTGTGAAAGTCGCGGAGTACTTGCGAGGTTCGGCTTCATCATTACGGTGTTTGCAAGTATGCGTGAAGAGATCCTTGCTGGGTAATTCATGACACAGTTCAAGCAAAATGTCGAAATCTTCCTTAATGTAGATGCCCTCATAAAACTTTTCAGTAATCTCGGCATACTGCTGGATCTTTTCCTGATACCGTGCTTGAGCTTCAAGGTATCCATCCTCGTCTGGCTTCTTCTTAGGCGGCTTAGGGGGTTCCCCCGCGCAAGGACTTCAGCAGGCAAGCTCTTCTCTCTTCCCCAAAACTGATTGGCAGACTCATGAAAGAGTTCTATGCTGTGGTAATCTGGGAATCTTGGAGGCAGACCATAGCCGGGTGCATAAAAGTATCCATTGTTAGGTTTATTAGGTGTTCTAACATGATATATCCCCAAACTCTACCTAACTCAAATCAAAGGCGTCAAAGAATACCTTGAACAAATACCCAGACAGGGGATGGGACATCCACTCAAGCTTGTCGGCAACATCCAATCTGTTGCGAACACAATCGGGAAGATTATCATAGTCCATCAGATGGACCCTAGGCTCATCATTTTTGCCCCTAGCCTCTATCCTGGCACCATCCCGCCCTTGAACTTAGTCAACCCTTTCTCCCATAGATGCCAGG